TCCTTTTCCACTTTATCAGATATATTTCTGTGTCTTAAGAAATGCATGCTGAGGGGCAGCTTAGATGGTACAGTGAATAGGGCACTGGCCCTGGAGTCAGGAGGACCTGAGTTCAAATATGGCCTCAGACACTTGACACTTACTAGTTGTGTGACCCTTGGGCAAGTCATTTAACTCTGATTGTCTAGCCCTCACCCCCCCCAAAAAAGACAAAGAAAGAAAGAAAGAAAAAACAAGAAGAAGAAAAGGGAATTGCATACTTAAGAGCTTTACATTCTCTTTCCTGGGTTGACTTCCCCTGTAGAATTTCAGTCCATGGAATCTTACCTATTTTTTTTCTCTGAACTCTGAAATCTTCTCTCTCAAAATAAAGTATATTTGCTAGACCTTGTCTGCCTTTCTTTTCTATCACATATCCTAAGATGGAGCCATTACCTCCTCCCCATATTTCCCAGTATTTCTCCAGGTTGGTGAAAAGTCAGGTGCAGAATAGAAGTTTCATTGTTTCTCCCATCTTTGAAGGAAGAGATTACTATAAAAGCAAGTCAGATTATTAACTGCTCTACTTTCTTGGCAGAGAGAATACCAGCAGATGTTGAGATAATTGCATCCTGCATCATAATTATATCATGTGCTTGTGCCAAGCTTATAATCTGTTTGCCGATTTCATCTATTTCCTCTTTCTGTCTAGGTGGTCTAGCCAGGGGTGGGGAACCTGTGTCCTTGAGGCCACATGGGGCCCTCTAGGTCCTCAAGTGCGGCCCTTTGACGGAATCCAAACTTCACAGAACAAATCTTGATGACTGAGCTTGATGACCTAGAAGGCCACATGTTGTCTCCAGACTGCAGGTTCCCCACCCCTGGGACTCTAGCCAACAGGAGGTCTGTGCTAAGGAGAATGAGTCTGGTAGCAATGTCTATAGAATCAACTGCACAGAGAGAGTGCAGTTAGGAGGATTGTCAGGAATCTATTGCAGTAATCTAGGCATGTGATATTGAAGAATATATAATATATAATGCATTGTGGCAGTGGAAATCTAGAGGAGGGGGATGAATTTAAAAAATATTGTGGAAGTAACAATTCCAAATGACTTATGATGAAAAATGCTATCCACTTCCAGAGAGAGAGCTGATGACCTCTGAGTGCAGATTGAAGCATTTTTGGGGGGCTCTTTTTTCTTTCTTTCTTTCTTTTCTTTTTATTTCTTTTTCTTGTTTTGCAACATGGTTAACATGGAAATATGCTTTGCATGAGTTTGTATGTATGATGGGCATCACATTTCTTGTCTTCTCAGTGGGTAGGGGAGGGGTAAAGGGAAGGAGAGAATTTGGAACTGAAAATTAAAAATTAACAAAAAACAAAACATTGCGGAAGGAGATTCAAATGAACAGTTATACCCAGTATCTGACTGGATATGAAAGATGAGGGAAGAGTGAAGGTTAACATCAAAATTTGAAACATTGTAGATTAGGTGCCATTGGCAGAAATAGTTAGCAGTTATGAAATCATTTTTGTTTCCCCCAGGAATTCTTGCTGAAGTTGTCTCCAAGCAGTATTTTTCTTTGAGGCTTTGCAGGGAAAGGAGGTGAAGGGAAGGAAATAAGCATTTATATGGCACCTACTTAGTGCCAATTACTGTGCTAAATGTTTTACAAATATTATCTCATTTGATACAACCCTGTTATTATCTCTGTTTTACAGTTGAGGAAACTGAGGCAAACGGTTTAAGTAACTTGCCTAGAATCACACAGCTAGTAGGTGTCTGAGGGCAGATATGAATTCAAGTCTGATTCCTGATCCAGCACTCTATCCGCTCACTGTAACTGCCTTTTATGGATGTTTTGGAGTCATTCTGTTCTTTGGGCTTGTGTCTTGGGCATCTGTCCAAGCTCTTCTAGGAGGGATTCTGTATTTTTGCTTCTTTGGTCATTCTTCTATCCTTATTTCTTTTTTTTTCTTTCTTTTTTTTAAGACAATTGGGGTTAAGTGACTTGCCTATGGTCACACAGCCAGTAAGTGTCAAGTGTTTGGTCTGAGGCCAGCTTTGAACTCAGGTCCTCCTGACTTCAGGGCTGGTGCTTTATCCACTGCGCCACCTAGCTGCCCCTATCCTTATTTCTTGACTTTGGACTTTGTAGGGACCAGGCTCTGCACACTTAGGGAGAGAATGTCCCTGTTGGGTCATATTGTTGCTTTCCCTGGGTATTGAGTGATGTGTTATTTAAGGATCTCCAGAATGACCCAGGCTGGGTACCCGCAGGCTTTCAATGGGCCCAGAGTGGTCTAAGCAGGGGCAAAGACTAATTGCTATCTTCCTGGTTTAAGTTTTACAAGCTCTTGATCTCAGTTGTGTCTGAGCAACACAACAGTCAGCTTGCTCCTGGTTAGATGTAGACTGCAACTGGCCCCAGCTATCATCATCTAGCTAGAGGAATCTGTAAGTTCAGAACGAGGAAACTGCAGACTCCTTTTTGGTCTGAGTCCCTGACCCTGGCTGTTTTGCTACCAGCTTCAGACTGGGTTGGGGGCCAGATCTGAGACCCTACTCTGTTCCTAGAGTCAGAGCCACCGGTTATCGCCTCTGGCTGGCAAATGTGCCTTGCTCAGGTCTAGCAACCCTGTGTATAAGTCCCCTTCTCAGACCACACTAAGTCTGTGACCTAGCCTAGGGATACGAGAACCAGAGCTGCCAGCTGGCACCTGCATCCAACCGCCTCTGTGCTGGATCGGTGACTCTTCTCACCTTAGTGAACAGCACAGGCCCTCCTTTAATCCTCGCACTAAGTGAGAGGAGGATACCAAAGTGGACATGGGCTATTGAAAAGAAGAACTTGAAACTCCTGAGAGATGATCAGTCTGCATTGAGGTGATAATTGAAATGAGAGGAATGAATGACATGACCAAAGAATGGTGTGTAGAGACAGGAGAGGACAGCCAAAGACATAACCTTAGGAACACGGTGAAGAGTACTGCTGAATTTGTGTTAGTTCTGTTAAATTGAATTGAACAGGGGCAGCTAGGTGGTGTAGGGGATAGAGCATCGGTCCTGGAGTCAGGAAGACTTGAATTCAAATTCAGCCTCAGATACTTTCTAGCTGTGTGACCCTGGGCAAGTCATTTAATCCTGATTGCCAAAAAAAATTGAATTAAACATACTTTAAGGGGTCAGTAAGAAGATGAGTGAGGAAAAGAAACAAAAAAGATGCAGTTAGAGTTTACTTGGAAGAGTCATACAAATATTTGTTATGAGTGTGATGTCTCTGGAAAACAAATGAGAAATTATCTAGGATAGGGGTGTGGTTAGCTTTGTCAAATGGTACAGAAAGGTCAAAGAATAATAGTACCAAAAGTAAGCCATTGGATAAGGTATTTGATTAATCGAAAAACATTTATTAAGCAATTCCTTTTTGCCACAGTGCCTAACATTGTGCTAGGCCATGGAATGCAAACGCAACAAACAACAACAGCAGCAACAAAAAACCCTCCAAAACAATAGTTCCTGCCTTCGAGAGGCTTATGACAAGTCAGCAAACATTTATTGAGGGCTTACTATGAAGCCAGGCCCCGTGCTCAGGGGACAAAGAAATTAAAAGACAGACCCTGATCTCAAGGACCTCACGGTCTAATGAGAAGAGAGGAGAGGGGAGGGAAGGAGAGGCGTTGTCCAACTGGAACTGGCTAGACGGGTCCCCAGTGGGGCAGCTTGGACTATGCCCGAGTTGTTGTTTGTCCCTCGTTCTCCAAGAGGACCATGACATCAGGGAGGTGATGCCGTGACTTACAAGTGAATTGGATTTCAGTGAGGGAGGGCTGTGCAAAGTCACCAGCCTGCCTCACTTTCTCCTCTGGAGCCGTCTGGGTCCAGGGGTAAACTACAGATTAGGATGACCGGTGATCAGCCCTGGATGCAGTGGGATACCATGGGCTTTTGAAGCTGAGGTCTTTCCCAGGTCTCCGTTTGATGGAGGCAATCCATAGAATTTTAGCTGAGACTTGAAGGAAGTCAGGAGGCAGAGAAGAGGAGGAGGGGGAGCTCTCCAGGCAGGGGAGAAGCCGGTGAAAATGCATGGAATAGGGGCCCGCAAGTTATTTCTCCTTCCATATACTCAATCTATTGACACTGGCCTCTTTGCTATTCATAAAACAAGACCGCCTTCCCTTTCCCTATTCCAGGAGTGGGAAACCTGAGACTTCAAGGCCACCTGTGGCCCTCTAGGTTCTCAAGTGCGGCGCTTTGACTGAATTCAAACTTCACAGAACAAATCCCCTTAATAAAAGGATTTGTTCTGTAAAACTTGGACTCAGTCAAAAAGGAAGGTTTCATTATTTCCATGAGGAAACCAAGGGTCAGGGAGATGTGATTTGCTCCCGTTTACATGGGAATTCAGGTTCTGAGTCTAAATCTGGCTATCCTGACTTCAGATTAAAATTTCTTTTCTATTCGGTGACAGTATTTCCCAATTTAAAGACAGCATGACGTAGGAGATAAAAGGCCAGCTTCAGAATTGGGAGACCTTGTGTACAAGGCCTACCTCTGATGCATACTATGTGTTTCTTAGAGCCTTAGAGATTTCACAGGGCTTCTTTGTCTGGTTACCTTTAAGGGGCCTAGGGATAATTTAGGGTATCCAGGAGCTTTCATGGGCAAAAAATTAATCTTTATTTTCATTTATTTCTAACAACTTTGGCATTTCCTTCAATAATTAACGTGGGCAACAATAATAGGTATCTGTAGGATTTACCAACCTGCCAATAGGGCCTATTGCACAAAAAAAGTTTAAGAACCTTGCTCTAGAATTATGTCACAGATATATATTGGTAGAGAGATTTTCCTCACTGGGAGTTCTCTCAGCACCAAAACTCCCCACTCCATAAAAATAGTCACTGATTTTGACAAATACAAAAGAAAGTCCGTGAGGAAGCAAGGAGACAGAACCGGTCATGGTATCCTTAGCTACCAAGTTAAGAAAACTGTGTTTTCTTTGTTTGCATCCAACAGGGAGGTACCTACTTCCAAACACCATCGCAGAGCAGTCATGGCTAGCAGCTGCAGAGACCTCCAACCTCATCCGGATGCGCAGCCAGGCTCTTGGTCAGTCAGCTCCTTCCCTCACTGCTAGCATGGTGAGTGAAATACAGGCTTTATTCAAGCCTGAAAGAAAGGACATGGATCCTATGCTACAAGATGGTTGAATTTCAGGGGCATAGTGAGTGTGGGGGGAGAGATATACATAGCCATGACATGCGCAATTACAGGTTTTCACATCCTGTCTGTCCTTTGGTTTGTGTATCATGTTTAACCTGGGCAGTAGGAATTATATTATTAAATGAATTATGAATTAAATTATTGATAACTTAAATGATTAATAACTGCCCATTAGAAATGCGCAGTGCATCCAGGAAGGAATTCAATGTGAGGGTGTGGAAACCTGCACTTTAAATTACCTGATATTTCTTTCCATGTTGAATGTCCTTTAGACCATTTCCCAGGACTTCTTCTTCCCAGTTAACTTCCCTATTTCTCAACTCTTTGCTCTATTTTTTACCAGGCGACAACAAAAATCTGCCAATAAAATGGGACAGAAAGAAAAGATCTCATTGAAAAACAGTATATGTTTCAAACCACATTTCCCATTTAGAGTTATCTCATGAGACCCTCTTTTTGGTTCCAGGTTTTACGCTCTGGTGTAAAAAAGAGGCTATAAAAATGGCTTTTGCACTTAGCATTTAGAGTTGTTATCTAATAGGCCCCTCTTCTATTAGGTTCCTGTTTTTATGCTCTTGTACAACAGAAAAAGGCTATAAAATGGCTTTTGTATTTAATTTCTATTAAATGTGGTGAATGGGGACTTGTGTGGCCATGGCAACATCTGCCACTGGAAGATGGGCCTCTAACTCTGTCATGAACAATGCTATAAGGAATACATAAATCTGTGCAGGTCCTTATCTGGAGTCTTTTGCATTGGGAGCCATATTTTACTAAATGATGAAAACCACGTTTGTACGGATCTTTGAAGTTTGGGAGGTGGTGTCTCTATTTTACAGGTGAGGAAACTGAGGGTCTGAGAGGTTGAGTGTCTTAGTGGTTACTAAATTTCTGAAACAAGATTCAAATCTGGGGCTCTTGACTAAATGCTCGCCCACACTGCCTTGTAACTTAAATAGACCTGGTGTCTAATCTTGGCTAGTGCATTAATTAGCCATCAGGCTTGGGCCATTCACTTAATTTCATGGTGCCCCAGTTTTCCTGTGAAACAAAGATGGTGTCCTCAGTTTTCTCATCTGTAAAATGAGGGAGCTAGAATCGATTTTCTCTATGTTTCTTTCCAGCTCCCAATCTATGATTCTATGAGCCGTTCCTAATGTCTAAGGTCCCTTTTAGCTCTAAACTACTATGGATTGATTTCTTAAGCAATTTATATTCTTGACTGTCCCCAAACAAATTTTTGTTACTGAGCTGCTCTTCTCAAGTCCTTTTGAGTGTACAGAATGAGGCTGCCATTTGTAAACCTGATCTATCTTTTTTCTGTGGATTTAAAGTTTACACCTAGTTGTGTTTTTGGTACCAGGTAGCAAGAACTCAAATTCATTTTTTTTCTCTTTGGAGAAAATGTATTAAAGCTTAAGTTAGAGTTGTGCCTGTACCACTTGAGAATTTTAAATCTTTTCAGCTAGCAACTTTTTAAGTAAAAAATGATTTCTTAAAAACTACAATATTGTTCCTGCATCCTTCCATGGTAACAATGGTTGGTTTCACTTGGCAATGATAACTCTGATGATGCTGGTCGAAGCAAGGTTGTCACAGGAAAGGATAATGATGTCTGAGGTAAAGTATCCAGACGTAGGAAACATTTATTCTCTGCTGAAGTTCCTGTTTGATGTTGAGCTAAGATGTTTGCAAACAGGACCAGAAAGTCCTGAGAAGCATGGGTAGCAAACAAATGAGGAGTTGCAGAAAATTGCGTTAGTCCACTTTCCATTTCCTGCTCAGAATTTCTTATTAGTTTACCTACTGCCAGTATTTAAATTGGAGATATTTGCATCAAAAATACTGAAGTGATTTAATATCTAATTAAATTTGACTTACATGTAAGTGCCTACTGTGTGAAAGGAACTCTAGTATGAATAAAGAAAAAAATAAAATTGTGAAAGTCTCTGTCCTCAAAAAGCTTTCATTTTACTGGGGTTGATGGTATGTATTGTGTAAGATGCTGCCTAAATTAAGGTTTTGTTCATTATCTTCCCCTGGCATCGTAGATATCAGGTTGACATCTTTGGATTTTAAATCTGCTTTAAAATGTATTTTTTTCCTTTCTGTTTTTATTTCTTTTGGTTAAAGCACATTGCAAACTTTAAAGTGCTATATAGTTTATGATTATTGTTGTTATCTGTATCTCAGTTTCACTTGCTAAATGAAGGCAGGATATCATAAACTTTTTAGTCGGTACTTTTTAGTACTTGATGGATAAGTTTATTAACTTTCCAACTCTTGCCTCGCCTTCCCTCACCCCTCTCACCTCTATTGATGCATGTATTGTAGTCTTAGGAAATTGGTAAGCTGCTTTGTTTCACTGATGCAGAATAACAGCAAGAGAGAATGGTCCCTTCTGGTGCCCCTCTCATCTTCATTTCCTCATTATTCAGTTATCTCAGGCCAGATATCTCAGCTACCCACAGCACATGCAATTATAGTGCTAAAAGTCTTGTGATACATTTTTATATGCCAACTTTCAGCACAGTCTTAAGAGTACATAGTGGGGGAAAGGTCATATATTTGATTCTTCTCTCTTTATGGAGAATAGACTGTGTATAGAAAGTAAAGGGGAAAAGTATATTTTAAAAAATATAAAAACTATTATAGGCCATTTTAACAAGGCAATTTCAGTAAAGAAACAGGAGCTTTGATTTCCTGGAGAATGGTGTGGAAAGGTAGATGTTGCCCACCATGGGCAATTTTGTATATTATCTATCTCTTCTTTTATTCATGGGGAAACCGACCAAATCCTCTAGTTGTGAAACTGATAGTTCTTCTCTGTGCTCTAATGGATAACCTATTGAGTTTCTTTACCTCAGCCTTATGTGATCTTGTTACTTTGTTGTGAATCCCAAGACGTGCTTTGAAACTCCACAGTGTTAAACAGTTTTGATCAGCCTTTGAAATTCTGAAATGAAACGTATCCTGTTTATACTGGCTAAGATTACAGAAAAGTGAAAGCAGCCATGTAGTCACCTCTGTTGCCCTTGTAGAAGGGTTGTAACTACCCTCTGCAAGAGAACTTGGTCATTTTAATTATAAAAACAAACTGATTTTTTTTTTTTTGGTATTTCGTGGCTACCTGGAAAAATAATGAAATTAAGGGAGATATTGTGTGCTTTCAAGTGTGAGAAGACAGGATATGGTACAGGAAGACTTCCTAAACTGTGTACTGCGTCATACAATATGGCAGACACTGATGCCATATGCAGGAAATTCAAACATGTCTATGACCTTTACTTGAGAGGATGCCAATGAGATATAAATGAGGTTACTTATGTTTTGGCAGGTGCAGCCTTTAGTAAGAGTATTGTCTGTGGTTCCTTTAATGTCACAGACAGATTAAGCATTGCTAACTACTCTCTTGGTAAGGATATGAATTCTTAGCCCAAAGTAGCTCATTTTCCTTAGCTCTGCTAAATGTGGTTGTGCTGCCTGAACCAGACATGTTGGGCGCTTCAGATAATTGGCGTGGTGCCGCTTCTTCCTGAGTGGCCGGATAGTGGGCAGAATACATGCTTAGTGAGTGTCTGCCTGCTGGGGAACCAGCCGGGAGTGCCGATGAGGTGTCAGATGAATACTCCATGTACATTAATCTGGAGAAGGGAAAAAGTCTTCTCCCATTTGCTTCTTCCATCTTTCTGTCCCTCCCTACACATGGGTAGTTTATCAAAGAAGCTGCTGTCATCAAAAACAGATGGATTTATACAGATGCTTCTCTTTGGCAAGCAGACAGGAATTCAGGAGGCAGAAACATGGTAACTTATCAGTCTGTAGGAAAATATGAGGGCAGTAAGCCTTGCTGACTAAAATTTGATAACGGTGCATGTTGCAGTCATAAGAAATGCCAACTTGTGTGATACTTAGCAGTAATGGATGAATGTCAGTGCACAAAAAGGAAAGAATTTCAAGAACTCATTCCCTCTGGTTAATTTCTCTTTGTGTTATTTCCCTCATCCTTCATTTACTTCACTTCCCATCCTTGCACCCTTTATATATAGTACTCCAGTTCCAGCCTTTTTTTTTAAGAGTAGGCTCTAGTTATCTAGTTTCTGTTGAATCTGTGGCTCAGTTTTATGTGTTCAAGTTAGCTGGCCCTCTCAATCAATCCATAAATATTTATTAGGCACCTAGTATGTGCCAGGTACTGTGCTAAGCACTGGAAATACAATAACTGGCAAAAGATAGTCTCTGTCCTATGAGACACACACAGAAACAAGCATATCCTATATGAATTAGAAATGGGAAGGGGAGGGAAACAAGCATTTGTTAAACTCCTACTATGTGCCAGGCATTCTGTTAAGAGCTTTACAAATATTATTTCATTTGATTCTCATAACAAATCTGGGAAGTAGATTCTGTTATGATCCTCATTTTACAGTTGAGGAAATTGAGGCAGACAGTACCGCTTATAAGTGTAGGGGGCCCAATTTGGATTCAGGTTTTTGTGACTTCAGGCCTGGTGCTGCCATTTTCTTCACCTCCCGGAAGTCAAACTCCACATTGGGCTGGGTTTGAATTCAGTTTAACTCGGTTCAATTCAACAAGCATTTATTAAGTGCCCACTATGTGGTAGGTGAGCTTTATGGTTTGCAAAGTATTTTACAAATATTATCTTTCGATCTTCACAGCAATCCTAGGAGGTAGGTGTGCTATTGTTATCTCCACTTTATGTCTGGGGAAGCTGAGGCAGACAGCTTAAGTGACTTGCCTAGCATCAAACAACTAGTAAGTGGTAGAAGCAGGATTCAACTGGGGTCTTCCTGACTGCAAATCCAGGGTTTTCTGCTTCACTGTCAAGGTATACTAGATAGGGACACAAAACTTTCCCCCTCCCTCCCTGCCCCCCCAAAAGGAAAGAAATAGAAAA